AGTATTCACATAATGAACGGTGAATGAAATATCAATAACACATGCAAGGTCACTAGTTAAACAGTTGTCATGGTGATGAATGGATTTTTCACATTGGATTTGATGACTTGCCAACTTGACCCTTGCAAAAAGTTTCATTGAAAATGTGTTCCTTTAGTGATCTCGTTCCTTTTAGATGATTTTGTAGGAAAAATTGCAATTTGTGAAAAGAATTTAAGTCCAAGACTCGATGCATTGTAGCTGCTTCATTCCACTCAGGCGTTGTTTCCTAAACTTTGCATTCCGGCTGCGCGGTCATGCAAAGGTTTGGAAACAACAACTTCATGGTAGGATTCAGCAAACAATGCATTGAGTCTTTGGCTTAAATCCTTTATTATGGTATAAATAAGGTACTACATGCCACATTGAATAATGGAAAATTATTTAAAATACCGAAACTAAATGTTTTGCGACCGATTTTTTCGAAAACAACAAACTGATTAAATGTACTCATATATGATTATCCTTTTCATTATTGTTCTGTACTTTCAGTATTTAATGTATGAATCAACGTATGTATTACAAATATCGTTTAGACTAACTTCACAAAATACAAGAATATTAATGTAGTAAGAATATATACAAACCATTTCCCTAAAGTGGATCCAAAGATGAAGAGTAGATGATTCACGAGACACATTTGTCCTTTATATGATTTTTATTATTTTAAGCAACGAATCAAAATACTTTATCACGGATTACTAAATCACGTGATAAATGTTAAATAGGACAGTTGTTCTGCCGTTCCTGTCCCAAGTGCTTTCCTCACAACCCGTAAGTACGATACAAAGGACGTTGTATAGGCGTTGCACCATTAACATCCCAAGAATTGCTTACTTATCGTACAGCTGTTTATCCATGCCTATCCGGTTTAATGGAAATGTATATATCTGTGGTTGTATTTGCATATTGAGGTTTGAACAGTGAACTTTATCCACATACATCAGTAAGCATTTAAAGCTACTTTTATGAGTTCTATGATTTCTAGAAATAATTCTAAATTCTAATAATTCTTGACAATGTAATTATTTTCCACCCACTTCATATGTAAAAGATAGAGAGAAAGACAAAGTTGTCCAGGGATGAGTTGTCTAATGGTTGATTTGTCCAGGGATGACTTATCTAGGGGATGAGTTGTCCTTAAGTCCATATTAGGGAACTCTAAAATCATAGGCTGGAAATCATGTTCCGGCAAAAAAATGTTTAAACCAAATGACCAAATATGGTATGGCAACTGATTTTAGACGCTCTTCTATGACCATCATTCTTTTCTCATAAATAAAACAATTCTAACCAGAATATAAATACTCGGTTCATGTTATTTTCAACTTTATTGCATTTCAATGTCATTTACACTTTCAGAATTTACAGACAGTGCAGAAGGAGCTTTATTATGATGAATACGAGGAAAGGAAGGGGTTTTTGAGAAACAAACAGACAATTTGAAAAATGTGATTTAAACAATAGTTTTAAAGAGTTGGATTGATATTTTTGTTGTCCCAAAAAGCAGATTATTTGAATGAAATATGTTTCATTTATAGTCAAAGATACCACGGTCTTATCATAAACAGAAATATTATTTTCAGATGATTCTCTTGTATGACCTACCCTGTACGAAGATATTGATGATTCAAATTCTAATAAAATTCTGGTCAGTCTAACGAGTAGACGTTTTGAACCTAAAGGTTGAGATAGAAAAATGAAGAGCAGGTATTCAGTACTGTCAACCCCTAAACATTTTCTCGCGGGACAGATTTTTTAGACCAAGTGCCCAAAATTGCGGGATTTGCGGGACATCTACTAAATTCGCGGGATTTCGAGGGACATTTAAGGGATTTGCGTGATTGTGCTAATAGGCCAATTTTTTTTATCAAATTCGCGGGATTTCGCGGGACCATTCGAGGGACAAACACCCTAATTGCGGGACAGTTAACAGGGGTACCACCAAAAACTTCATAGAGGGACAGATTTTTTAGACAAAGTGCCCTAAATTTGCGGGATTTCGCGGGACATCCACCTAAATTTGCAGGATGTCCCGGGACATTCAAGGGATTTGCGTGATTGGGACTAATGTAAAAGCGTGTAAAAGTACTTAAATCAAACATTCAGATACTGATTAATCAAATATAATGCACCGTTACATTGTAACTTAAATAAACGTCAACACAATTTCACAAAATACGCATAGGAATATTATTATACTTCATTGTAATTTATCAAAAACAAAAAACATGCTTCAGGTGTGAGTACCGTAATCTAACACGAAATTCAAAAATTTGGAACAATACTTTGCACTTCTGGCGTCGTGACCAACTATGAAACGCTTACCCTCATAATGTTATATATTAAAATGTACCTATTCATATACTGTAGGCATGGGCTTTCAATTGAAATCCCATGATATAGGGGTTCGATTAATCTACATCAAATTATAGGAAATGAGGTTACTTTTCTAGATAGGGTTTGTAGAAAAAACCGGGTACTGGGTAGTAAATCCTCCATGCTGGGTTCAAACTTGGTACCCGGTCGAAAAAAACGGGTACCCAAAAAACGAAATATACGAATATACAACATAATTAAATCATTAGAAAACGTGTAAGATTTGTTTTGAATTATAAAAATGTATGTTACTTCCTTCAAAATTGAGCTATAAGCTTCAAATAAAAATTATTTTAAGGCTCTTTTCTTCCTCTATCATCATGGTCATATTTCCATTGGTAATGAAGGGGGGGGGGAGTGCGATCGCACCCCCTCCTGGCTACGCCAATGACATTGTAAGACGATTTGAAAAACAAGACAAATCAATCTTACTCTATTTTCAATACTTCGTATGTTGGTACATGAATTGTTTTGATTATGATTTAAACCTGTAAATAGCTATCGTTGCTTTAGCAGAGAGGTGACGTGTGTTAATTTAAATGATGCAACGTGTAAGATTTTGATTATTAATCATAATTTAAGTTATCCCAATTTTCGACAAAATGTCCACTGAATTGTAAATTGTTATGTCTTACAATGTCATAGGCGTAGCACCCCCCCATAACCAATGAAAATATGGCCATGACGATAGAGGAAGAAAAGAGCCTTAAAATATGCTTTTTATTTGAAGCTTCTAGCTCAATTTTGAAGGATGTTACATACATTTTTGTAAATTCAAAACAAATCTTACACGTTTTCTCATAATCTAAATTATGTTATATATTCGTATTTTTCGTTTTTTGGGTTCCCGTTTTTTTTGACCGGGTACCGGGTACCAAGTTTGAACCCAGCATGGAGGATTTACTACCCGGTACCCGTGTTTTTCTACAAACCCTTTCTAGATATCAGCGTCCATTTATTGTAACTCGCGTTTGCTAATATTTGCTCAGTTCTGAGATGAAGGCCACACGGGTAGTAAAAAGGCCAACGTTGGAACTATTTGTGACCTACATCCCTATTTTCGTAATGAAAAATGAAAGTTGAACCTTTCCCCTTTATTTTGATACCAAACAACAGCATGCTAGGTACTTAAAATTAGGTAAACTTTACTCCTCAAAAGTGCAAAAACTTAGCTTCTTATAAAAGATAAGATAATCACAATATAGGGGATTGCAACAATTTCGGAAATTCGCGGAGGTCAAAGCCACATTGCGGGACTTCGCGGGACATTGCGGGACACGCGAATTAGCCTAATTTTGATCAAATTCGCGGGATAATCCCGCCATTCGCGGGACACTTGACAGCTCTGGGTATTATATCGACGAATAGATACCACAAGGCTAGGTACAAACGTTTTCTGTACGTTTTCGAAAGTTTGTGATATAATACCCGATGATCTTAGGTCTATATCACGATTCGAACACGAACTCGCCAACTTTTGCAAAATCGTCATATCATTTCCTACTTCCGGTTTGACGCTTAACACTGAATGGAACACTTAGTGCGGACCAGTTATTGTATCAACGAAAGGATACTGGGTGAAATATTGACACAGTTTGAAGGCGTGGGTACAATCATGTTCGAATGGTATTCACAAGTAAATAGAAGTGTCGAATGTATGATGTGATACATAGCTGCTTCTCCATGTTTTTAAAGCAATAAAATGTGTATTAAAATTATTGAAAATACGTATCGTAACAGTATATCAAAACAATATTGCAAAATAGGGAAAGATTCCATCTGCCAAGATTCAGCAAATGATACAGGAACATCTGCCAAAGTTCAAGGGACTTAGTCACTACTTCTCAAATTATATAATCTTAGATAATAATAGAACTTGTGGTTAGGTATTGGGATGTTTTCTGTACTTCTGATATCACGTTGCTATATTCCAAATCAGGCCATTTGAAATAAAATCCTTTTATTTTCATAGTTAGTATAGTAACTTGTCGTCTGAATTGATGATGGTCTTTTAAATTATATTTTAATAATTGAAAATATCGTCTGGGAAACCAGATCTTTTTTTAGCATTTGAAAATAGAATAAAAACTGGCGGTAGATATTAACTATTTTGTATATGAAACCTGAAATTCAGTTCAGTTGATTCACACAAATGCATCTTTAAAGTAACGTTTTAACCTATTATGTGGTTTTTCGTACAAATGATGTTAAGTTTGACTTGAATGACTAAATCATTATTAAAATTAATGATAATATTATCTACCCAATATCAATTTATTTGAACTTAAGATGTACCTATTCTACACATATTGAAAACATGAAGCAGGTGATTTCTTTGACAACACATCTTATTTGAACCAATCAATACCAAACCAAGTTTATTAAGCAATATGGTTGACGGGGATGCTGTATAAAGGCGTCTGCTAGCCAGAAAGGAGAGAAAAGGGTTAGGAACACGACATCGGTGATTTTTAAAGATAAAGGTATGACATTGTGTATTTTTAAAAGCAATCAAATCAAGAATTTCAATATACTTAACATATGCAGTCATGATTTATTACATGAATGAACCGGGTAAGTTTTTTCTATTAAATACGATATTTGTGTATGCATATTTTATTATTAGACTCTAGATGTCAATCTGGAGTCTATTGTTTTTGCCAGTATTCTTCTTATTCTTATTCTTATTCTTATTATTCTTTAGGAGTTTTTTCAATAACTATGAGGTTTTCAGTAAGGACCATAATACAGTTTATTTAGGTTCAGTATCTAGTTGGTGGGAAATTGGGTCAATTTTTTATCTAGGTCAAATGTCAAGAACTAGGTCATATCCAGTACTTTGTCACTTTTTTAGATCTTCTCGGTCGTCCTTCAATATTTTGGATCCGGTTTTTTTTCATTGTGTTCCTCATAAAAAAGTAGAAAATCTAGAGTCGATTTAGTTTTTTGGTATCTCAAACCGATTTCGAGATATCAGTGTCCGAAAACGAGGTCCAAAAAAAAGTTCTCCGAATCCAATGTCCAGGATATCAGCCTTATAGGAAATTTTCTCAGGATTCCGAATCTGAAATCCAAGTTTCGATCTGACTTCCGGTTCAGAAGTGTTTTTTTGAAAATTCAAAAATCGCTAAATTTGGTGCCCCATGTTAATTCAATGGGAAAAAATATTTTTTTGAAGTGCAAAATACGAGATATAGACTAAGCACAGCTAAACATAATGGAAGCCCATAGAAGAAAGGGACCTCAAAACCTTCTTTTCATAAAAATTTGGACACCAAAATGCCTAGGTCAAAATCTAGGTCAAATTCAAAGTTTTTCCTTATTTTTGCGATTCTGACACTACACTTTAATTATATTCTTCGAAATTGTGTATACATGTAGCCAAGAGTGTGCTAATAGCGTTAGCCTTTTGCCGTCAGAAAGTATTTTGACCCACTTTTGAGATATGGTGTCCGAAAAGTAGGTCAAAATAAAAAGTTCTCCAAATTTAACGTTTGAGTTATGAATTAAGAATAGAATTTTCTCAGAAATCCGAATCTGCAAATCAAATTTCGATCCGACTTCCGGTTCCGAAGTTATGGCGTGTCCAAAAAGTAGGTCAAAATAAAAATTCGCAAAATTTAATGTATGAGTTATGAATTAGGGGTAGAATTTTGTCAGGAATCCGAATCTTTAAATCAAATTTAGATCCGACTTCCGGTTCGGAAGTTATGGCGTTTTGAAATTTCGGAAAATCGATCTGATGGTATCCTGATAGAAAGTAAAGAGTAGAGAAGAAAATATTGAAAAATTCATCCATCCTTCCTATCTGATCCTATCCTATCCTATCTTTCCTTCGTATCCTTTCCTTCCTATCCTTCCTATCCTCTCCTATCATATCCTTTCTTCCTATTCTGTTCTATCCTAGCCTTCTTTCTTATTCTATCCTATCGTTCCTTCCCATTCTATCCTATCCTACCTTCCTGTTTTATCCATCCATCTTATTCTGGATGACTCAGCTTATTCTGGATGACTCGGCTTATTTTAGATGACTGGGATTAAAAAAGTCTGGATCTGGAGTCTGAAATTGAACTTCGTTCAATTTCCCAAGTCTAGTTATGTATACAACTACCTACTTCTTTGATGCCTGAATAAAATTTGCTCCGATTCACAGGCCAGCGCCCGGACGATTGAGTATTTTGTTCAGAATTGCATTCATTTTTAAACAAAATACTCATTCGGCCGGGCACCGGCCGGTGAATCAGAGCAAATTTTACTTAGGCATGAATGAGTCTGGTAGACCTGCTTGGTGTTGCCTCCTCTTAATTTTATCCAATCCAATGTGATATTTTGGCAATATTTTAGAAATTCTCAAGTGTCGGTTTTAAAAGCTTTTTTCAAAATAAGATGATCTACCCGCGTTAAATTCAGAATATGAACAGTTATTTTTTATATCACAGATGCAGTCATTTTCGATAATGTACCTTGGCGTTGCAGTTGCGTTAGTGTGTAGCGTATTAACAGAAGGAAGATCGCTACCAAAAGGCTCTGTGGACGATAATCGCATAGCAAATTTCTTTAAGAGGTAAGAAAACAAAGATTGTATTCGCGAATGCAACTTTCGGCTAGCAACTACCGATTCATGAAAAACATTTTAAAATAAATCAAGCAAACCGAGGTGGCAGAACATTTATTTTCTCAAAACTAGCAAATGTATTGCAATTTACTCATAGCCAGTTATTTTTTAAATGCTGTAACTCAAGTTATTGTGTAATATTTTGATGCGTATATATTCACTATTTTGTAACTCCATGCATATTTATAAGGAACAAATGACTAAAAATAGCCATGGAATGGAATGGAAAGAAATTGGGAGAGGGGAGACAAATAAAATCATTTCTACAAAAATAATGAAGACAACTGTCCCTACCTTCCCTTAAGCGGTTGAAGATATCGTTGAACCGTGGCAACAAATTCCATAGTTCCCATGTCATAGGGCTATTTAGTTCAAATATCAAAGTATAACGTTAACTATAAAGTAGTTTATTCGATAAAAAAAACTAAAAATATCGAAATCGACACTTCTAGTCCGCCATTTTGATGCAAAGGTGACGGCCGTTACCTTCGCTTGATCAGTGGATAGGCAAATTAACGTTTAATGGGGAAAAATACAATAATAAGACTTGATTGTCATTGATTCGGTTCAAATAAACGTCTCAATCATGCCTGATTACTTTATTTATTTATGTATTTATTTATGTATTTATTTATGTATTTATTTATGTATTTATTTATTTATTCATTTGTATATAACTTCGGATTAAATAAACGTCTCAATTATGTCCTGTCAAAGCGATTGTCTCACCCGCGTCATGCCTGGTTATATTATTTCATTTATTTATTTATTTATCCATTTATTTAATTAAGTTATTTATTTATTCATTAATTTAATTAATTAATTTGTTTCTTTACTTAGCCCCCAATACTAAACACGCCGGTGTTTATTAACTTGGAAAAATAGGGGTAGGGAAACTAAACATATCACCGAGGAGTGGATGTCACAACTAGTCACAACCACAACAATATTATTTTTTACAGGGATGCCAATGGCTTGCTCGCTGTAAAATCTAAACGGGGTGATTTGCTCCCATCTAATTCATCCGACAATGAATATCACAGGCGTGGTCCTTCAGACAAGTACGTTCAGATAAGTTCTTACGGCCCTTCATTATTGGCAGTTCATCATTTTACGATATCATGATTTACTCAGTTATTAGTTTCATTATTGGCAGTTGATCATTTTACGATATCATGAGTAATTTAGTTATGAGTTCCATCACTGACAGGTGATCATTTTACGATATGAATCGATATGAATTTATTTTCTTATTAGTTCTTTTTTAGGCAGTTGATAATTTTACGATTTCATAGGTTATTTAGTTATGAGTTCCATAATTGGTAGTTGACCATTTCATGAAATGACAACTTTTGGCATATTCAAAATGTTTTAAGCTATTATCCAGCAGGTATCGTCAATGCTAACTTATAGAAGAACCGTACTAAACGAAGAAGGCATTGCTGTTTGACTAATGATAATGAAGAGCTTATTTTCAAGTACAACACATTTAAAAGTTTCAAACATTAGTGTCACGGAGTAAAGTTCATATGGTTAACAAGATAGCAGAATTGTGCTTAAATTACATATTTCTAATCGCTTTATTGTTAAAATATAAAACAATGTGTAAAATATGACATTAGGCAGAGTGATTATCACAATTAAGGCCAGGGTGCATGTTGGGAAATTTTCTGCATTCCTCAATTGAGTCACATGTTATTTTTCAAACAAGAATTACTCCTTCCCAACATTGTCTACATCTTCCAGGTTTGCACAAAGAGTGCACTTATGTGCCTACAAAAGATTTGTGAGAAGATTTGTTATGTAAAATGTATAAAAACGAGAAAATTCAGTGAAAAAAATCTCTGAAAATTTATCAAAGCATTCTTCTCAAAAGCCTTTTCTAGGCACATAAGTGCACTCTTTGTGCAAAACTGGAAGATATAGACAATGTGGGGAAGGAGTGATTCCTGTTTGAAAAAAAACATGTGACTCAATTGAGGAATGCAGAAAATTTCCCATCATGCACCCTGACCTTAAACATATATCACGATTCCTATAGATAGACTTATCTAGATCAATACCTCACTAATGGTACACACTAGGAAACTTTAAGACGGACAGTTCCTTTAAGTCTGATGCCCACGATTTAATCCGTTGTGGAAATAAATGTCATTCAACTTCAAATGATCGCATCTTTGTATATCTAGTAATGTTTCTCCATTATCCCAACACACATGAAAGCTGCAGCACCTCGCAAGTAACATATAGTTTGCACTTCCCAAGGATCCATACGACTTTACTCAAGTATGGAAGTATAACCCTTGTTATCTACACATACCCAACACAGTATTTCCACCCCGGAATAGCCTGGCAACGGTAAAGTCAGATACCGATCGAGTATTCTGTCTTGTATGCTGTTTAATTTATTCGCTTGAGAAATTTTCAATTAATTAAGGTCAATTCTTTCCAGAAGGTGGATACATGTAGGTCCAACGAAATCAATTGACTCTGTGGAAGATAACCGCGTGGCAAATCTTCTGAGAAGGTAGGTTTCATAATCATAAGGCTTTAAAATGGTTAAAACAATATCGTGCAGTTTATTTTGATATCACTGCTAGCCGTCTCAATGCATACGAAGGGCGTAGCAAAGATCTAAAACAGGCGAGGCATTTAAGTTGACGAGGTATTTAAGTTAAATTTGACATACAAGGGTTGTTCAAAAGTTTTGCACAAATATATCTAAATATGACAATAATGAGCCAATCCCATCGAACGAAGTTCGGAGCGATGTAGGGAACGCCTCCGTCCGTCCGCCCATCTGGGCAATAACTCAAATACCGTTGGCCCGATTTTGTTCATATTTTGTACACATATACCCTATGGGGGTAGAAGTTTTGCTGGAAAGCCTACTTTCAAATGGCCGCTCATTTAAAAATGGCGGCCATTTTAGTGTAGATTTTACAGTAATTTAGGTGCAATATGTAAAACTGTATTATAGCAATATGTTTTAAATGTAAAGAAAATTATATAGGACATTAATAAATCTAGAAATGTAGGTATTAAAGAAGCACATGGCAGCCATCTTGAAAAATGGCGGCCTTTACTCGTTATTTTAGTAGTGGAGCGATTTTGTTCATATTTGGTATGTGAATACTACAAGCATGGAACACTTTCTCATGACACTTTTGGTAAAAGGCGGCCTTTCAAAATGGCCGCAATTTTAACGTATTTTGCTATAACTCAAAAAGTAGTGGAGCTATTTTGTTCATATTTGGTATGTGAATACTATAAGCATGGCATACTGTCTAATGACACTTTTGGTAGAAGGCGGCCATTTTGAAAAAAGACAACCAGTTTAACGTATTTTACTACAACTCGAGAAGTAGTGGAGCGATTTTGTTCATATTTGGTATGTTAATACTATAAACATGGCACACTGTCGAATGACACTTTTGGTAGGAGGTGGCCATTTTGAAAAATGGCTGCCATTTTTGCTTTGGCGTTGCTGTTGTCTGGTTTATGGTTGGTAGGTATGTGCTCCCATCTTATTCCCTTACACTGTCAAGGTTTCATACCTTTACTACTTAACATTTTATAGTTGCTATAGTAATCAAGGTGATGACGCTATGGTCCATATCATTTTGTAAAAATAAAACTAGTATTTAATCAAGAACAATATTACTAATCATGCTTTTACTTACGTAAACTTTCAACTTAAATTCAAACAATATCTAGTTTTGGTCTCATGGCAAAAGTGAATCTTATATCAATATTTCCCATCTTGTTTTCTTTGATCATGCCAAAGAATGACCGTTAAAGCGGCTATAAGGTCTGTGGAGAGAAAAATTGATAAATTTTACCTTTTCTGAGCTATCGGGGCGAAGTTTGGTCCAACATCTTCTTCCTTATTCCTATTTTATAAAAATGTATGCATATGGCAATATTCATCAACCAGTAGAACTGGCAAATTGTTTAGAATCTACAATTCCATACAAGGAGTCCCACTCATAGATTTTTCAAATTCTTTCCAAGTCGACGTGAAACACCTAGCGGCTGATAGTGTGAGTCTTGTTATGAAAACTTTCTTATAAAAATCACTTGACGATTATTAGAAAGCATTAAAAGTTGAAACCGAAGCGTAATCTGAAATAAAAGTGAAAAATATTGCGCGGACGTTAGAGAACAAACTTCCAGTTTGATAAAAATGGCGGAGTCAGAAGGAGAAAGGAAGACGAAGAATTATATGATTTTCCTTTGCCATTATTGATCGTTATAAGGTATGTGCACAAATTCTAGTTGCATACATGGAAAATAGATACATTTTTAAAGGCAACAACATATTCAAAGCTTTCATTTTACGATAGGCCCAGGATCATTGGATACGACTCAGCAATCGATGTTCCCACTTTAAGTACTCTTCTAACATTTTGAAAAATAATCTGGTTTTATGACGTTATCATAGTTCTCATGAATTCATAAAATATTGGAGGGTATGTCTTGAAATAATAAAGTTGAAGCAGAAAACATTGATAGAATACATGTAAGAATGGGGAAATAGTAGTACACAAGTTATATACATCCATCTTGATACTCCATTTAGAACAACTTACAAAAAAAGTTTGCGAAACTATGTCAGAAAAGAATATTGAGTTTTTTTTAATTTACATCACAATGAGAAAGAACAAGGGGCAACATTTAAAAACTATCTATTATATATTGATCTGCTTCCTTGAGATCATTTGCACATATGCAGCTTGTGGCAGTGAAATACTGAATTTATTCTTTCACATCACAGTGAGGAAGCACAAAGAGCAACATTTGTAAACACATGGACTTTACATAACTGTTGATGAGCACATTCATGTGTTTGTTCATTATAATAAGAGCTTCTCTGAGCTATCATCATCTTCTTCAGATGACAACATTTCAAACATATCTTTTGATTTTAAAATGTCAAACTTCATGCATTTCTTTTTGCTTTTATACCCCTTGTGCCTACAACCCTACGCCCAACAAGTCATGTACAACACCATCCAGTGATTGCATCAATACTATTTCATCTGGATCTGGGTTATACTCCACCCATGTGTAATGAGATTTAGAGGACACAAACCGATTACTGGACTTTTACACAAATTAGGCCATATGTATCTTTTTTTAACAATGATGGTATATTTTCCATTTATAAATATGAACATTGGTATGATCAGCCAGTGAACTGTGATAATATAAAAAAAATTATTCATACACAAAACATCAAGATAAAATGATTGTACGACAATCATCTCATATGAATGTATTGAAAGAAATTGCATGTTATTATGTTGCTTAGAGCCATGGTAAAGATATATGCTTCTCAAGAGATCATGCTCCAGGGCAAGCATATATATTAGTTTATGAAAAGATCATAAGAATAAAGAAAATATACTCAAATATATAAAACACAACTGTCACAATCATTCTAAGGATTTTCAAAATGGCTGACATCATTTTATTTCATGCTGAAATTGCAGAAAAGTTCCATTTTTGCACAACGCTTGGTCCTTATCTAGATTTTTACATATCTCAAGAAGTACCTTAGACGTACACTATTCCCTCAATACATATAACTTTCTAAGTAAGAACCAAGCGTTATATGAACAAAGCAAGAGTTTATCATGACCTTCCTCTATCTTAAAAAAGTAGGTCAACACAATTGCAAACATAACTAATCCCTACTCAATGACTATTGAAATATGACTATTTATATGTACAAAATATTAATCCAATGAGTGTATAGAGTGACACAATCAAACAACGGGACATCTGCCAAGTTGGTTTATACATTCTGGAGACATTTTCTGAGACTGATAAAAAATTCACATTTTCACAGGAAGTGATACATACCTCCCAAATCAACCAAAATATACTTATATCAGTAATCTTGAATGCTTTTTAATGCTATTTCTTGAAAATATACATATTTATCTACAATTTGATCCTACATATCAAGGATATTAACAACTTTGCATTTTTCAAAAAATGTTAAGTGACCCCAGGGGTGTCTATAGCCATTCGTCCTTTCATGTAAAATGATAACACTTTTCGAACGACCCTAATGTTAGAATCATAAGACTTCATTTTCATACATTCAGTTTGAAGGAACGTCTGAATTATTATTTCTTGTAAAATGATGGAGAGGCGATTGTCCCATCTGTCCTAGGACTGGCCACGCCCATGCTCGTTAATTGGCAAGAATGGGGACAAGGAGTTCAAAGATATCATAGAGGTGAATGGAGGTCACAGACAGGTCAATCATTCTTAATATTCTCTTACAGGGAAGCTAATGGATTGCTCGCTGTGAAGTCAAAACGGAATGATGGGTACCCAGCTCCTACCCCCAGCTGGCTACGCGGGAGGTTCGGGTTAGCATATATGCCCCTTTATTATTGGCAGTTGTTCGTTTTGCGATATGACGAGTTATTTAGTAATGAGTTCCATTGTAGCCAGTTGATCATTTTACGATATGATGAGTTCTTAGTTCCATTTGTGGCAGTTGACCATTTCACGGTATGACGAGTTTTGGTATATTCAAAATGTTTTTAAGCTCATTACCCAGCACCTATCGTTAATAATAACTCATAGAAGAACTGTACTAACCGAGGGATGTATTGATTCTATTCATTCTATGTTGAACGAACATGTACAAATGCAGCAATTTAAAGTTAAAGTCTAGATTAGTCTTCATGTGCCAGACAGCTTATTTTCTAGTGCAATACATTAAGAGTGAAACAATTACTTTAGGTTAAACAAAACAAGCATATGCCGTTACTCAAACTTTACAATGTAAAGCATGACTAGGCTTGTATTGTTAATGCAACTTTCGGCTGTCGGCTACCGGATTAACCTCATATTTTATGACCATCTCATTTAAATATGAATGGAATAATGACAGGTACTAGTCTTATCTAATTGAGTTTCCAATAAAATAGAAGATTAATCCAGTAGCGACAGCCGAAAGTTGCATTCGCAAGTACAAGCTATAGTCTACTAAGGCTGTATTTTTGTATGCCCGAGGTGCTAGTGAATTGCATAATATTTTTATCAGTTTTCGCCCCAGGTATTACTAAAAAGAACAATTAGCCCTGCAGTGCAAATAACATGCTCGTATGTTTTCAACAAAAACATCTCATCCAAGCGCACTTATGCCTGGGTCACATTTGCTGTGATTCATCGGCCGGCGCCCAGCCGATTGAGTATTTTGTTCAAAATTGAATACATTTCTGAACACAATACTCAATCGGCCGGGCGCCGTAGTGGAAATCGGAGCAAATGTGACCAAGGCATTACACTCACATAATTCTTTTGAAAGACATCACGGTTTATTGCAATCAAACTTCCGTACACTATCAACTACTCGACGCGGTTGACATACGAGGTTACCCGACGAGTTTGACACATCGTAATCAGCGGTGTAAGTGCTTGGATGAACTGTTTTTGTTGAAAATGTGTGACCATGTACTTTGCAATGCAGGGGCTTATTGTTGTTTTCTTGATGGGGAAACTTATTACACTGTATGCAATTGAATAGTGTCACGGGCAGTTAAAACGCAGCCTAAGTATTGAAGGCTATGAATACTTGAAAACTAATATTCTATACTGAACGCTCTTCGGTTTATTGGCCACTTCCGTGCAAAATCGAGAAATGGTCAATAAATAGGTAAATTCTTTCCAGAAGGGCGACAGGTCGATCAGCTTCAAAGGACTCTGTGGAGGATAACCGTATGGCAAAGTTTTCGTGGAGGTAGGTTTTAACAAAGTTATTGAAACTGAACACAATGGTTTTAAGCCTCAATTTAAGATATTTTCATTAAAGTGAATCAATATTAGACTATTGTCTACTTATATTACCAAATACCTTTAAAAGGCACTCATGGTCATTTGACTGAGATGACATCTAATCTGTCAACAAATTGCAATAAGGAATGGTGTATGCAATTTAAACTTTAAACTAGACCCTATATTATTCCAATCTGCATTTTATTATTTATTCTTATTAGTTGTTTGAAATAGTGTGAATGGTAAATACAAAATCATCTAATCTGTCATCAAATCGCATTATGGTATGGAGTGGTATGCGATTTAGACTTTAAAACAACTACACCTATTAGTTTAATCAAGTCAAATGGGAAATAATAGAATTACGAGACTTTGTTTTACGGTTTCAACGTCTGAATTGTTTTCTGTAAAATATCGAAGAGGTGGTCGTCTTGCCTGCTTCGTGCCTATCTACGTCCACGCTCATATTAATTTGTAAGAATAGAGGTACATAGGAGGGTTAAATAGTACAATAACGCCATTTCAAAGGGCAATATTAAACATAGGTATTCTGGCCATATCCAGCTCCTGATCATCCAGTATCTGTTTTATTATGCACCTCCCAATCAAAGTTAAGTGGAGTACTTACTGGAGTACAGGCTTAAACTGTCGTTTAGTTGACATTATTTAGACATTTATTTATTTTTTCTTTCAAATTCAGACGAATTCTGGCCAGTTTATTCGCTACACGACGAAAATATTTGCCCCGGGAATTTAATTTTTATTTATTCGAGACGTTCTTGCAGAATTATATGTAACTTTTGAATGATAAGGGTAATTGTGATTGATTAAGTGCATTTTTTTCTTCTATTTTCCGCCAGTTTCAGATGTAAGCTTTAAGTAGTACTCCAGTTATTAAGAAATAAAACTCTGAAGTGGGAATGCTGCAAAAACATTGAAAAAAATATCCGACCCTTTTTCTCGAAAGGGTCAGATATTAAAAAAATATTCGGCAGTTTTCAGAAAAGAGCAGAGTATTGCCAAATTACAAGCAACTAAGAACCAATCAGATTTGAGTATTTTAATGAGGTGCATAATAAAGTGAAATATTGGACCAAGGGATGAAGGCCCAAGGTCCAATATTTCACTATATTCCCCGCAGAAATAATGTTATTAGTATTATTACCACCGTTAATGACCAGGACTGAAACAACAGGAAAATCTTACGCACTGAACGATATCTAATTTCCCGGGGAAAATTGCCGGTCGTTAAATGCATTCTCGACCGGTCGTTAAATGCATTCTTCACCACCACTATGACGTCGTTACACATTGCTCAGGTCGATATATTTAAATGAATGCCTTCTAAACTAGCACCTAGAACTGGCCCGGCAAGGTTGTAATAATATATCATAGAGGTTAGAGGACGTCACGGCTTAATACATTCATATAAGAGGTCCTAAATAATTTTCTTACAGGGTTGCTAATGGATTGCTCGCTGTAAAGCCTAAACGGGATTAGTGCCCACCTTCTTCCCCCGTCTCCGTAGGTACGTTGGAATTAGTTTTTATTGGATGCTGATCATGTTGCAATATGAAAGTTATGATATCTTCAATACGTGTACTAAAAGATAAATGTATTGATTTCAAGTTTTATTAGGATGTAACGTTACATAAAAGGTTATATTATAATTTATTACATATAAGACCTGGTATTTCCAAATGAATCGAGAATGTTACAATTAAGGAATGAAACAAAATAAAAACTAGATTTGTGAAATTGAACAAGTTCAATTTAAGACTCCAGATTTATTTTACCTAGATAGATCAGTAAAGAGCTGAGTAATTAACTGAGTAATTAGCTGAGTAAGTACCTTAGTAGTAGTTGAGTAAGTAGCTGAGTAAGTAACTGGGTAAAAAGCTGAGTAGGTAGCTGAGTAAGTAGCTGAGTAAGTACCTGAGTTAGTAGCTGAGTAAGTAGCTAAGTAAGTAATAACTAATTAAGCAATTGAGTAAGTAGTCAAATAAGTAGCTGAGTAGGTAGGGAGGTAAAGTAGGGTATGTAGGAATTTTTGAAAGTTTATTTGATCAATCTGCATCGTGAATACTGGCAAGTGCGAATTTCAAACTTCAAAATGGCTTAGAATCTTAACCGGGGGTCGGATTGCAATTATAATTTCAGATCCGGATTCCTTAGGAAATTCTACCCCTAATTCATAACTCATACGTTAAATTTGGAGAACTTTTTATTTTGACATACATTTCGATCACCATATCTCAAAAGTGGGTCAAAAAACTTCTTGACGGCAACAAGTTAACATTATGAGCACACTCTTTGCTACATGTATACAAAATTTCGAAGAATATCATTGAAGTGTAGTGTCCGAATTGCAACAATAAGAAAAAACTAAGAATTTGACCTAGATTTTGAACTAGGTATTTTGGTGTCCAAATTTTGAAGGAAAGTAGCTTTTGAGGTCCCCTTCTTTTATGGGCTTTCATTATGTTTAGCTGTACTCATTCTATATCTCGTATTTTTACACTTCAAAAAATTATTCGGTCCCATTGATTTAACATGGGGCACCAAATTTAGCGATTTTTGAGATTTCAAAACGCCATAACTTCAGAACAAGAAGTCGGATCGAAATTTGGTTTGCAGATTTGGATTCCTGAGAAAATTTTACCTTTAATTCATAACTCACACATTAAATTTGGATAGTTTTTATTTTGACCTACTTTCGGACACCATATCTCAAAAGTGGGTCGAAATACTTTTTGACGGCAAAAGGCTGACACTATGAGCATACTCTTTGCTACCTGTATACAAAATTTTAAAGCAAATCATTTGAATATAGTGTCAGAATTGCAAAAATAAGGAAAAACTATGAATTTGACCTAGATTTTAACCTAGGGATTTTGGTGTCCAAATTTTGAAGCTAAGTAGCCTTCGAGGTCCCCTTCTTTAATAGGCTTTCATTATATTAAGCTGTACTCAGTTTATATCTCGTATTTTACACTTCAAAAAAATCTTTTTTCCCATTGACATAACATGGGGCAGCAAATTTAGCGATTTTTGAGCTTTCAAAACGCCATAACTTCCGAACAGGAGGTCGAATCAAAATTTGGTTTGCAGATTTAGATTCCTGATAAAATTCTACCCCTTATTCATAACTCATACGTTAAATTTAGAGAACTTTTTAGTTTGACCTACTTTTCGGACACCATATCTCAAAAGTGGGTCAAAATACTTTCTGACGGCAAAAGGCTACCACTATTAGCACACTCTTGGCTACATGTATACAAATTTTCGAAGAATATAATTAATCTGTAGTGTCAGAATCGCAAAAATAAGGAAAAACTTTGAATTTGACCTAGATTTTGACCTAGGCATTTTGGTGTCCAAATTTTTATGAAAAGAAGGTCTTGTGGTCCCTTTCTTTTATGGGCTTCCATTATGTTTAGCTGTGCTTAGTCTATATCTCGTATTTTACACTTCAAAAAAATATTTTTTCCCATTGAATTAACATGGGGCACGAAATTTAGCGATTTTTGAATTTTTAAAACGCCATAACTTCTGAACCGGAAATCGGATCGAAATTTGGTTTTCAGATTCGGAATCCTGATAAAATTTCCTATAAGATTGATATCCCGGACATTGGATTCGGTGAAATTTTTTTTGGACCTCGTTTTCGGACACTGATATCTCGAAATCGGTTTGAGATACCAAAAAACTAAATCGACCCTAGGTTTTCTACTTTTTTATGAGGAACACAATGAAAAAAACCAGGATCAAAAATATTGAAGGACGACCGAGATAATGGGAAAAAGTGACAAAGTACTGGATTTGACCTAGTTCTTGACCTTTGACCTAGATAAAAATTTGACCTAATTTCCCATCATCCCAGATACATTCCCTAGTTATTCATGTAAGCAGCTTAAAGTAAGCTCTTCTAGTTGGTGAGAAATCTGGGAAGGAGGAAGATTCTGAAAGAATAATAATAAAGAAAACTGGCAAAAGCAATAGACTCCAGATTTTCATCTGGAGTCTAACAAGTGTATGATATATTATCAAAAACAAAAATTTGATAAGGAGTATAGAAGAGTGTATAGGATGCAAAGAATGACGATACCATTGTACCATTGTGAGTGACAAAAACGTTTATGGGTACCAAAATCACGAATCAGCGAATCAATCAAATTAAAATATTTAGTAATACGTGTTTTTCAGGAGGACGATCGAGCTTAGAAAAAAGAAATGTCTTAAAAAGATAACGAATAATACTAATATTATAACATAACACATGACGTCACCAGAAATAAAAATTGAAGATAATACAGAGCATGTGGGTCAATAGCGCCTGCGCTAATGTTTATTGTACAATAAATATCCGACTTGAAATAAATATTGATATGATATATGATATGATATGACTTCTAAATAAAAATTATAGACATCAAAAGAGAAACAACCGTTTTCTTGTTGCTTGTTTGTCATAATGGTATCGTAATAAAATACCTACTGATATATTACTTTTTATTCCATGGTTGCAGATATAGATCGAATATCACATGAAGATATAAGATATATTTGGATCAAGATATCATATTTTAGCAAAAGATTCACAAACCATCGGATATCACTTTTAAACTATCGAATATCACGTCTTGAAAAGTGATATTTGATAGTTTGAAAAGTGATATTCGATGGTTTGAAAAGTGATATTCCATGGTTTTGAATTATTTCCAAAAAAAACTTTTTAAATTTTCTTTTATTTAAAAAAAATATTTTATATATGCGGACAATCCTATTAATTATATCCACGCATGGATACAAATATCTTCACTCATTCGCTCGCTCACTCATGAAGATATCAATATCCACACATGGATATAAATGATATTTTTTCAAAACGATAGGATATTCCTACAATATTTTATCTAGCTTATTGTAGAAATTCAATATCTTCAAATTCAGTCATTAAACATGATCATAAAAATGAAAGGGCCTATGTATATCCTGACTTATAGCCTATTGTTATCGCACTTTCTCCAGGTGCTATATCTTGTCGTCCTCTTAACCGAAACTACACAACAATCAGAAATAGTCCGGCGTTGTCTGTTCTGTCCTAACTCGTCTGCGGTTCTCCACCGGGCAATGTTCGACGCTATCTTATTTTGTCCAATAATGTCCTGTTTTCTCTAATGATGTCCTGAATTCAGCGTAGTGTTGCCAGAAAATGGGCATATGATCTGGACGTGATTAAATGGGCTTGAATTGTAATGGTGATATCCATTGAAAAGAGTTAATGCTGATTTTAATCATCGGACACACCGTGCAAAAAATGGAAAACGTCAGGCAATGTCCGACGGACAACATCGGACAAAACATGACATATACAAGGTGGGCCAATAATGTTCGTTGATGTTCGATATAAATATCCGGACTTGTCTGTTTATGTCAGCTGAATATATTTTACTCTATAACTCTCTTAATGTCTGATCATGTCCTATTTGTGTACAACTAGCTTTATTTAACCAAGGGCGAACGTAATACCCGGAACGTTCAGTTTTTACCGCATTCGATCTGAATTGTCGTTAGGTTTTTTACCGCATCCGATCTGATTAGCCAATTAAAATTCTTCTTCCTACCTGATATAGAGACCATATCCGTTACGTTCAGTACATATACACTTATCCCCGGGTATTAAACAAACCCTTGATTTAACTTGACACAAAGTCCCAGAGACTTAAAACAATCATCATGTTCAATATAAATAAGTAGACTCATCATGATAAACCATGACATCCCGTTTCTTCTCAGCCCTGAGGTTGAAACAGAAAGATGCTATGAGTATCAGAATGTAAAACAATAGTTACTTCAGGGATTATTGTATTTGTTCCTGTAATAGCCCACTGCTTTACTCAGTGCATCTTAATAACTAGTAAACCTTTACATGATTAGAATTAGAACTTAAACGTAACACAAACGGCCCCATGGCGTATGTCGCCCCCAAAACATATGTACATGCATCGGGAGTTTCGCGAGTCTAATGAAACAAATCAAATTTCTTTAGTATACCAGACAATAATTTATTTATTCATCTCTTACATATTATGTTTAAGTAAATTACACGTTTTGTATTCAGATAATTATAAATCGCCATATCTTCATCTGGTTCACTTTTTTGCTTGTATAACTGAAATGAAAGATTTTGATACTAATATGCATGCAGCCTAATAACATAATGTATGCCTCGTCGCCCATTATATAAATGGCACAGCTGATTAATAAACGTTGCATTAATTTTAAGTTAGGACTATTGTTGTTATCATTTGTTTCAGTCAAATTCGATTTGAATAAAGTCTTAGTAACCGTGAAGTATTGAATCTAACAATGAGCGCAATGGACAACATAAGAAAGCATAGAAAAAGTCTTACCACAGCACTTAAATAACTTTGTCTCCCTCGGTACAGGCTGCAAACATGTCTGAGGCCCCGGTTCCGCGCATGGAACGCACGTCTTAAATCGCGTGCACACCTCATCCTCGATACTTTTACAAACGAGTGGATCTCCACGTTTTTTCAAATCTTTGGGGTAGCCAGGGAGGTTGATTATACGTCTACAATCTACTCCATTTCCGGGTGATATGCAGACCCATGGTCCCCAATCTCCATAACCGGCCGCTTGTGGACACACCGGAGCTTTTGTTGTTGTTGTAGTAGCTTTTGTGGTAGTGGTTGTCGCTTTGGTAGTTGTAGTTGTTGGGACAGGAGGGGTGGTGGTCGCAGCTACAATGAATATATACCAAATACAGTGACCCAGCATTAAAGCAATTGTACGCAAACCCTACCTGCGATTTTGAAAATATGCTTGCACCCATACCTGAAAAGCCATTTGCAGCCTCTTGGAAATGAGAAAAATGGAAATATTTTGACCAATTTGGTCTGAATTGTACAAATGAGAATTTTGCACCGACTTGAGGGAAAATCCTGTGGAGAACACTGATATATATCTTAGATATCGTATCATCTATGAGTGGCTATTGTGAGTGAAGTAGCCGTGATCGCTCCTGAAAAACCTTAAAGTATGTCTAGAGTTTAAAAGTGATAACAGTTTCCAATTGAACACATCTCACTCTACTATACCTAACACCTAGAAATGCATAAGATACGTTGTTTGTCTAATTGTATTGTTTAGTATATTTTTGAAAGTGCCTTAGTAACATCTAACATTCAACCGATAAACCATTAATAACAGACAAATAAAAACAAATACATAATCATTACTTACAAGCCAAATGGATTGCTCATGAACACCAAATACAAGGTATAGTAGAGTGATCTGTATGCGATTATGTTTATCACGTAGAAATCTCATGTTTGTAATTTTGTGTCAGCTTCTTTTTGCTATGTAATGTTTTGTAACATTACGTGTTATCATACAATGAATTGTCTACAGCTCCAAACACTTTTTTGTTTCATATTGTTTAACACGTAGAAATTCGAAAATACCCATAAAGAAATCCTAATTTGACTAATCAGTTTAAACAATTGCTTTTAATCAAGTTATCGGAATAATTGTTGATGCATGATCAAACGATTTCGAATCATGTATCAACGTTAAATGTAGCACTCTTTCTCCCAGTATACTTTTTTCTAGTTTGAATTTAATTCTACTACGTGATCTATTTTGACGCCTAACATTTTCAACCAGTTTAATGAGGTCGACATATAGGTGGTACAAATACAACCCACAACATAGTTTGTTTAGTATGTTATATAATTTGAGCTAACCGAACTTTTCAAAAAAAAACTTTGGTAAACAGAGCTTTGATGTCGTGTTTATAAACCCCATAATATTTATACTATCAAACATGGATTCTATTAACTCCACCGCATGAATGTACTTGTTGAGACTCGATCATCTTGAGTTCTTCTGAGATATTGAGGATTTTGTATATATTCCTATGATGATATGATGATTTCTCCATCCCATGTAAAGTCAATAGTGTATATCCCCATGTTTAGTCACACTTGCTGAAATCTTCATTATCTCAGAAAATCTCAAGTTAATCGAGTCTCAACAAAAAGATTCATGTGGGGTAGTATTGGTAGAATCCACTTTCAATAGTAAAATCTTTGAAGGACATCGTGTTTGCTTTCAGAACATTCTACCAGCTTCGTACAAAATTTGAACAGTTTAGTAGAATCGATAACTACCTTTTGTTGTAGTAGGTGGCACAGTGGTAGAGCTAACACAACAGTCCTGTAATTTAGATCTTCGTCGATCCCCACGACATGGTATGGTATTGAAAGTACGTTTTCCTCTTGAACATATGCACTCCCGAGTTTGATAACAAACTGCAACACCACGCACCTGACAGGTTGCCGTCGCAGAGGATCCGTCAGCCACACACGGTCCATAGACCCAGGCTCCCCATTGTCCCCAGTAACATCCTTCAATGGATGAAAATGTTCATTTTGCGATCGGGAAAAGGACCGCGGAACAGGATGACCAGTAGACTCTGACTCTCTGTTAGACATATTGTTTTCTCGTGAAATAAAGACCTTTTGGGGAATTCTCCATTTTTGTATTTCAATCTTTACTTTTTGTATGTCTTGTATCGTTGAATTAAAACAATGTCCATTACTTTACTCGGGATATAGATTCGAGCATAATAGTATCTGTTTATGTGCATTTAACTGGAAAATATTGAATTATAATGTTTCCCTACCTGGAGTTGGAGTCGGGGTTGTCGGCTGGGCTGCGTTACAACACGGCTGTGATTTACGTTCTATTGTAGCTCCAATGCAGCTCTGTTGTATGGTACCAATAGTTCGTTTGCCAAAGCAGACACACTGACGGGTTCGTTGGCAAGGTGTTGTTCCAGGTGCAAGGCATGTTAGAGTAGGAGGTAATGTATTTCTTACACAAGTCCCGTAGACCCAAGGTGTCCAAGCGCCCAAGCGACATGCTTTATATTCATACATGTACATATTAAAAATGAACGGTGTAAAGCAATAAGAACGTCTCGTTTGGCAAATATAAAGCATTTTTTTAAATATTGAATAAAATCCAGAAAAAATGAAAGGCTTAATACAAATAAGAATTGGAGACCAATTACCTCTCACTCAACTTTGAACCAAAAACAGATTCCTTTCTCAGATGACTAAATATTGTCAAAATGACTTGATTTGTTAATATGAGTTTTCTGGGTCAACAAATACCATGGAGTAAATGATTTGAGTACCAAGAACATATCACGATTGGTGTCTCAGATATAAAAAGTATACTGGTAATTTACTGGGAGAAACTCAGTATGGTTTTTCAGATTTTATATTCCGCGGGACAATATGATTTTTCCCGAGGGCCCAGAGGGCCAGAGGGAAATATCATATTGTCACGAGGCAAAAATTTCCGGGAGGTAAATACGATTTTCGTGAACGGGATTAGGCGGGACAATACGATAATATTCCCGGGTGTTATTCACCGGGTTGTAGTAATACGAGTATTATGACATAGGTTGTGATGCACTTTCCGGGAGGATATCTGTTTTGCATTTCACAGAAAAATATTGAATTATAATGTTTCCCTACCTGGAGTTGGAGTCGGGGTTGTCGGCTGGGCTGCGTTACAACACGGCTGGGATTTACGCTCTATTGTAGCTCCGATGCAGCCCTGTGGTATGGTACCAGTAGTTCGTTTTCCAAAGCAGACACACTGACGGGTTCGTTGGCAAGGTGTCGTTCCAGGTGCAAGGCATGTTAGAGTAGGAAGTAATGTATTTCTTACACAAGTTCCGTAGACCCAAGGTGTCCAAGCGCCCAAGCGACATGCTTTAGTATGTATATCAAAAATTAAGGAGTAAAGCTATAATAACGTCTCGGTTATATAAATCTGATTTTAAGATATTAAATAAAGTCCAGAAAAGCTCGAGCGCACTGCATTTAACAGGGCAATTATAGTTTTAAGTTTGTTTCTTTTGTGTTTACTATTCAACTATTGAAAGAGTGAATAGGGTATAATTAGTTAAGCTTCAGTGCACTGTATGAACCGGTCAAACATTTTTTGTGCCACACTGGTTTTGGATAACTAATGCCAAGTGTACATTCTTAAAAAGAACAATAGAAAAATAATGCACTCCTCTTTGGTATAGCTGGGTATTCATTCTTAAAAACACACAGTTCA